GATGCATTTAACCTCCGGTCTTGTCAGTAATATATAAACAACTTTTTTTTTGGAATGACTATAGTCCTGTTGATGGGATGGTTCCGTCAGTGTCTATTACCGTAGATTATCTATACGACATAATCAATATGATCCAACGGTAAAAAACACCAACGGACTTATTCTGTAACGAGACTTTAGCATTTTTCATTTTTTTTTTTTAATATGTCAAGTTATGTCCTTATTGAAAAGAGTTGCATTTATTGACACAATGAAAGTAGAAAAGAATCGGGCTGAAGAGGAGTTTGTCAAATGAACAATGATGACATGGAATTTATTTACAAATTTCAAAAGAATTACGAATTAAACATTATTTATATAGACACTTTAAAGTACTAGTAAATGCACATAAGCATTTTTTTTTTAACTTAAAAGTTGTAATTTTTTTTTTAACTTAAGTGAACTTAAAAAATATAAGCATTTTTTTATTTCATATTGCCATGACTGATAAAAAACTATGAGCATGTTTGTTTATGAAATTTTTTTGTTTTGTTTGGATTTTTTGATTTTGTTTGGTTAATTTTGAAAAAGTGTTATGATTAGTTATTAGTGGGTATATTAAAATAATATTTAAAATAAAAAAATTAAAATTGATTTGATGTAAAAGTAGGAGAGAGATGATTGAAGTGATGGTTAGTTAAAATAATGTGAGTGGATGAATAGTGAATTAAGGTTGATGTGGTGTGTATGAATGATTGATTGATATTATTTAATTATATTAATAATATTATTGATAGTGAGGTTGAGTTAAAGTTGAGTTAAAAAAATGATTGAGTTAAAATGTGAAATTTTTTTGAAAATTTTTCATACACAAACATGCTCTATGTGTCCGCCACTGCCTTGTGCGTCATGATGATGTCCCGAAATAAGTTCGAGGAACTATACCTAATATACAATTTTACAAATTATAATATGAGCTCTTTAATCATTATATATCGAATAAATAAAACAAAAAATTATAAAATTTTAAATACTTTAAAGTAATATAAATATATCATGACAAAGCAAAATAAGTAAATAAATAAATATTACATAATGTTTTATTTGTTTATTTATTTATTTATTGCAAAACGTGCATACCTATATTAGTATAGGATAACCTTTTACAAATTATATTTTATTTTATTTTTCTTAAACCGTGTATACCAATTCCCGAAGGATTAACTTTTTTAATGCATACCTATATTAGTATAGGATTAACTTTTACAAATTATATTTTATTTACAAGTTATGTTTTATTTTTTTTCTTAAACCGTGCATACCAATTGCCGAAGGATTAACTTTTTTATAACTTCAAGAGTGATATTGCAATATATCAATATAGGTGGTAGCACATTCATTACATTTTTTACATTTTCACTTATCCACGAGCAAAAAGTCATAATAGAGATTATCCCTTCTTTTCATAGACGAATACCGAATCAAGAGTCGTTTTTCAACCATTAACATATAATTTTCACTAAGCTCAGTTTGAAAAATCCATGCTAAATGAATAAATGCACGTAAACATTTACTGGCAACATCCAATATTTCTTTATATTCTCCTTATATATTAACTCAAAACGTGTTGAGCCTAAGTGACAGTCTCGCCGGCTTTAAAATCCTACATGTATAATATCATGTTTTGTATTTAAGTTCGGATAAAAAATTTAGAAACAAAATTGTCTTAGAAAGTGCCATAAATAATTTTTTTCACCATACATTATTGTCTCTCATCAATCTCTCCTTCATTACCAAATTTGTTATCGCACAAATCATTATTTCCTCATTTTATTTTATTAGATTTATAAATTAGGCCCACTCTGATACCATGTCAAAACGGGGGCAAAACGAGTGCGGTCCGACACAGGTGAAGCGCACCATAAGAGGGTGAGTCTAGGTGCACCATAGTGAGGTTCCATCCCAAAACCAATTGGTGGTATGAGGAGTAGCTCACTAGACTTATAAGTTAGGCCGATTTTCCTTTTATAGACGATGTGGGACAACTCACAAGTGTATATTCTAACACGTCCCTCACTTGTGAGTCCTTCAGAAGTCCAAGCCCAACTGGGTTGGGTGACAGCTACGTCATTGCACGGTCCCACGTAGGCCCAAGCCCAACTGGGCTGGGTGAACCGGCTCTGATACCATATTAGATTTATAGAATCGGGGGAAGAGGGTGCGGTCCCACCAGATGAAGCGCACCATAAGAGCGTGAGCCTAGGTGCACCATAGTAAGATTTCATCCCAAAACCAATTGGTGGTAAGAGGAGTAGCCCACTAGACTTATAAGTTAGGCCTATTTTCCCTGTATGGACGATGTGGGACAACTCACAAGTGTATATTTTAACATATTTTACTAAGGATTTATCCCATTCATTATATATTTTTTTATTTTTTCAAGTGGATAAATTTTATTCCATTTTTTAGTACGTTTTGTTGCGTAATGAATAATGATGAATTAAAATAATATATTATAGTTATATGGATAATATAACTAATGAAATCTTAACTAAATACGTCCCTTATCTTAATTATCATCCTTTATCTTATTTGTCCAAGTTGATAAATTTTAATCCATTCATCATATTTTTTTTTTATTTTTCTAAATGGATGAATTTTAAGTAGAACTAAAGAAATTTTTGAGATTTGAAATAAAATACCAATGTATAGTAGTTTTTGTTTTATGAAACTTCCATTTATTTATTTTGTATATACTCACAATAACTAAACTCTTTCACTTCTTTTATTTAAATTATTTTTCATGCACCCGTGTAGCACACGGTTATTGTACTAGTGTGACATTAAAGGAGATATTAAAATGTCTATCAAATCACTATGTAAATTACTCAAGTAACAAAACAAATAAATAAACAAAGGAAATGATAACACCCAATTTTATAAATTAAGTAATTAGTTCGTGAATCAATTATTTATCGAACAACATTAATAAAACATATACTAGGATTAACTTGCAAATACTTCACACTTACAAGGTTGATATTGCAATATCGCAATATAGAGGAAATATTTATTGATTTATTTATTTTATATTTTCACTTATTCACGAGCAAAACTTCAAGCCTAAGGTCATATGACACTATACATAATTTTCAAATGTGTTAGAGTTAAAGTGGCAAACTCGCACGCTTCGATATCTTATATGACAAAATTTTATGCTTCGTATTTGGTTTGAACATATTTTAATTAACTCCCAATCTAAAAATAATAAGGCATGAAATTTTTTCCTCTAGTTTTATTTTAAAACTAATACAATACCCTTGTATTACATATTATGTCATATCAACTTTGTTATTCTATTTCATGCTATATTATGTGTTTTTAATCGTTATTTTTTTTTCTCATTTGTCCTACTTGACACTTTATATTTTCGAAAACGGCATTTGAGTAGTTTTATATTCCATGTTATTTGTTTCATGTAAATTTTACATATTGTGTCATATCAACTTTTTACTTTGTTTATTATGACATGTAATTATGTAATTAGTAATACGAAAATAATATACACTTAGAATTATAATAAATTTATATTATAATAGTTTATACTTAATATTGTATTTTGTTAAATTGGGGATAGTAATTCACTACTTTTTTTATTTGTTCAACATACTATTTCGGAATATATCTTTTTGAAATAGTTTGCATCTCTAATACTAAGTTTTCCTTAATATTTTGTTTAGGCTTTACTTTTAAAAGAGTTTTTATTTTGTTAGAATCCTATTTAATAATATATTTAATTGTCATTATAGCTCATTGAGATACTTAAATGTTATTACAGTTTTGCCATTAAACGATACTTATTTTAATAAATATTATATATATATTAATGAAACTTAGCAAATAATTAATACATATATTGTAACCCATATTTTTAATATTAAGTTTGTTTTTTGTGACCTTAAATAGTTCAATAATTTCAAAAGGTTTTAGAAACAACTTTTACTTTTAAGATACTCTATATGTAAAATAAAACAATTATAAATGATATCAAGAAAAAATTCTAGATAAATGAAAGTTCATATCCCTACGAGGGCCATGTTTGATTCCTTTGTTTGTTTGACATGAAAAAAACGATTAGGTCTTGCACAACCATTAAAAGATTTCACAAATTAAAATTTTGAGTGAATTTTTGCTTTTTTTTATGTATATTAGTTGTAAACTCAATTACTAAAAATAAATGCAATAATTAACCAAAAATTATACGACGTCGGATGAGTTTGAACCAATTATGTAACAATTCCAGTCGTCAATATATGATAGTACAAGGATTAATTAAATTGTATTTTAAATAAACTACTGATGTTGGATATTCTTACAAATTTAAAATTGATAATATGATTTTTAACACATCAAAACTCATTATTGAGAATCTTCAAATTTCAAAATTTAAAAAAAAATTATGTAAACATTAACAAACTTAAATATGATAAATCACTATATATGTAAAAAACAGTTATTAGATACCATTTCATATTTTATTTATATTATGTTTTTATACATCAGAAATATCATTGTTCAGTTTATGGCTTAATCATATATTTGGTTCAGGGGTGATTAACAAAGAAAATCAAAAGATTTAGTTTATGATATTGACAA